CTTGAACAACCTACAAGTCGTGAATAATAATAATAATAATAGTGCCGAATTAGTTCTCCATCAGTGTCGAATCAGTTCTTGTCTATTTTTTCGAATATAGAAAGTAATTTACACAGGTGTTGAAAGTGATTAACTTACCCGGCGGTTGGTACTTGTTCCTATTTGCTCCACAGCGCAGTTAAAGTTCATTTCCTCGAACAACTCGTCCATATCCTTCGCCCACTCAGCTTCTCTTCGATCTTCTTCAGGCACTGGCACGATGTCATCTTCAAATCGGAACTTCTTGGGAAGGGGAGGGTAGTCTCCATCCGCAGCCCCACTCCCTTGTCCGAGAACAGATCCCTCTAGGATCTTGGAGATGAATTTTATTGGCTTCGCCTTCTTTGCTTTAGCCCCCGTCATAAATTTCATCATCTCCTTGAGCCAATACGGCATCTCTTCTCCACCATTGTTGTTTCTGCTGATCGGTGCAGCATTTGAGACCGAGGCAGGGCGCGCTCCTGCATTTTCCGACAGCCTCCTCTTCTTCGTCCTCCTCCGAGGAGAGGTCGTTGGAGCCCTTCGTTTTGAAGGTCTGATGCTGCGCCGCCCTGAAGCCCCCGCAGGCAAGCTGTCGTCTGCTGTGTCAGCTCTTCTATTATGCCTCCATTTCCTCCTCTTCCTCACAGTGAAGTCTTCATCTTTTTCATCAGCCTCGGAGCTGCTGCTGTCGCCGGACAAGCCACTCAACTCATCCTCGACATAAACTGGCGGCCGGCCGTATTGGTCCTCCTCGTGGATCTAACCCGACTTGCAATGCCGGAATCAGCATTGCATCTGCAGACAGCCTCCGCAAATGTCCCTCCTCCGCAACTTCTTTGCATGCTTCTGCGCGGGTGTTGGCATTGTCCCTGTCGGAGTTGAGGTCGAGTTCAGGGACTGCTCAGGTCCAAAAATTGGAGCATAAATATCTGCTCGGTGATTTTCATTGACCTGTAGATTATGAAAATTCAAGTTTTGTTCATAAAATGCATTCTAGAATTAATCGAATGATTGAACTCATTTTTAGAACTTTTTTAATCTATTAATTCGCACCTGATGGTCGTCGGATCCGGCCGTTGTAGTAGTGGGAACATTCTTCCCCTCCATTTGAGAATCTGCAACCATGTTGGGAACATCCTCCCCTTCCATTTGAGAATCCAATGATTTGTAATTATCCATTTTGTAAGAACTGAGCAAATGATAGCAATTTGCAAATTCTTCTTCTTTTGGATTGATTGTCTGAGTAAATTGTTGAAGACTGATTTGAGGAATTATTTAAAGACAATTTGAAAGGAATAAGTGCAAGAGTTATGATAAGTGGATTTCCTTATCAAAATCTATGTAAAAAGATGCTTTGTTTGTTCAAAACAGTTTTCTTTGTTTGAAATTTTGAATTTTAAGGTTATTTTTTATTTTTTTTCCTATTTTATTAGTATATAATTTTTTTATTTTTTTATAAATAAAAAAATATAATATTTTATTTGATAAAAGTATAATATTTTTCATTTAATAATATAATTAATTTGTGGCATAAAGAGTAAATTTGTTGTATAATAATGTAATTAATTTGTCGAACAAATGTGTGAATTTGTAATTTAATAATATAATTAATTTTTTGATTAAAGTGTAAATTTGTTGTTTAAGAGTGTAATTAATGTGTCGATTAAAGTGTAAATTTATCGTTTAATCATGTAATTAATTTGTCGATGAAAAACTATGAATGTGTCCTTAAATGATCCAATTAATTGATTGATGAAATATATATTTGTCATTTTAAATTTAATGATGCGGTAACCTTGTTAGTTAATGTATAATTTTATCGATGATAATATAACCAATTAATTGGTCATTTTAAATTTAATGATGTGGTATTTTTTTTTCGGTTAGAGTATAAATTTTTCGGTGATAATATTACCGATTAATGTGTCGTTTTGAATTTAATGACAGTAATAACTTTTTTCAATTAATGTATAAATATTTTAGATAATAATATAATCAAATAATTTTTCGTTTTAAATTTACTGATATGATCGTTTTTTTTATTAACACCCATAAACTTTTCAAATAATAATATAACTAATTTATCAGTTAATAATATATTGCATTGAAAAATCTTGTAAAAATTTAAACAAAATGGAATAGTATAACATTTATTTTTCATTGTTATTTTTTTATAAAAATTAATTAATTAATAATCATTGTTGAATATATTAATTTAAACTAAAAAATAAATATTAGATATAATAAAAAATATAAGTTGAATAACTTATAAGTAAAAAATTTTAAATATCCAAATACATTCTGGTGTACTATACAGCTACTTTTTTTTTTCCATATCTGATTTGAATAATTTTCTAATTTTGCATAAATTATTTCAGTTTTTTCTTTTAAAAATTTATAATTTTACCTAATTAGAAAATTTATTGCAATTCAAATCATTTCCTTTATTGAATAAAAATAACATTATAATTTGGTGAGCTAGCTATAAAATTAATAATTGGTAAATTAATTATAATTTAATTATTGGTTAACCTATTTTATTTTTGTTTAGTAAGTTGTCGTTGGTCTTTAATATAATTATCATTTAGTAACTTACTAATAAATAATATAAATATATGTGATTTATGATTTTTATTATTTAAATAATATTTTGTAAAAAATATATTATCCTCGTGTATTGCCAATCTACTCATTTACTTTTTGCATTTTAATTTTTTAATATTAATTATTATATCAAAACATATTATAAATTAAGGAAAAATTGTAAAAATATTTCTATTAATGTCTTAAAATACTATATCTACTAGAGTTTTATAATACTAATATAATGATATTTTTACAATAATTATACAAATATAAAAGAAATTTTAATGTTAAAAACAATGACATGAAATGCAAATTGATAGATTAGCGATGGACGACGAAGGTAGTATATAATATGATTAAAAAATTTTGGAATGAATAATAAAAGAATAGAATAATTATAACAAAAAAGAAAATTTTCGTTTCAGTATATGTTTTCATTGTGTTTCCGTATATGTTTCAATTGTCTTTTATTAGTGTTATACACGTGCAATGCATGATTTTATTTTTTAATTCTTTTTTTACTGTAAAATCATAAATTAAATATTATAACTATTTGAATTTTTATCTATTTATTTATTAATTGATTTATGTCATAAACAATTTAGAGAAAATGCATGAGATAAAAATTTTCAAGATTATAGTGCTCCATAATAATACATAGCGTTGAAATTTATTGTAAAAATTTTAAACAAAATAAAATAGTATTACATATATTATATATGTTTTATTTTTATAATTTATATTGAATTTATTGTTATATTTAAATTTTGTAATATTTTTATAATTCATAATATTTTGTATTTTACAAAATAATACCAATATTTTATATTTAAAATTTAATTATTATTTTAATATTTTATTTTTTAAATTAACCAATAATAATTATAACAATAAAAATACAAATTTGATATTAAAATTAAAAATAAATTTAATTAAATAATAAATAATATAACTTTTTCTCATAATCTTTTAATAAATAAAAATATTGACAAATAATAATATAATATAATATAATAATTAAATAAATAATTAATACTAAAAATTAAAACTATAATTAAAAATTATATATATATAATATGAAAATAAAAATTTATTAAAAAGTTAGGATGAGTATTTTGTTGCGAATATAAAATAGAAGAGAGTATATCCGTTGACATGAGAGAGAGAAAGTGATGTTGATGATAAAAAATAGTGAAAATACCAAAAACAAATATCTCCATTGTGGATGGTCTTACAATCATAATTTCATTGTATGACATGCCTATAATATAATTGTAGGAATGAAATATATTCACTCACTTTCAATCAAGTTTTTCCTACGTTCTTATCTCAAATATCACTTCGCATTATTGCACACAACACACATACATACATCAATACCATACATACATATATGAAAAAAATTCAAAAAATATCTTCCACGTATGTTCAATTATTACTTTTGTTTTGTATTTATATCGCTAGCAAAATATATACTACATGTTATAAAAGTTTCTATTTTTGTCGTTTGACCGCGCGTGACATTCACACCATATGCGGTCACGCGCGACTAAATGATAGAAATAATAATTTTTGTAAACATGTAGAATATGTCAGCGAAATAAATACAAAATAAAAGTGATAATGAGGTATACATATAGAATATTTTTTTGCAATTTTCTCATGCGTATATTTATATATATATATAGTAACACTGCTGCATACATATATATCTTAGATATGGCGGCGGTTACAATGCTGAATAGCACACCGTGTGCTACCGGACAGCACAATGTGTTACCATAAACAACACACAATATATGCTAATATAATACAAATACAGCACATGGCCTATTTCACACCACACATACAATACTGATTTTAGCACATGATATACTTTTATACGGTACACGTTGTAATTATAAACAAACAGTACATGTTTTTATTATAAACAACACGAGTTGTATGCAATAAAGCCTTGTGTTGTTTCTATATTTTACGTGTGGTCCAAATCAGCATCCTAACTTTCCCCTTACATATATACACATTCCCATATATTATATAATATATTAAAGTAGTAAACAACTGTACAAATAATTAATATTTTTTATTGACTAATCATATAATAATATTACGACAAATAAAAAAAAATTAAAAATTATATATATTCCTTTATTTTTTTAGCAACGCTGTAGACTCCAAGACTCCTCCAAATATGAAGGAAAAAATGTCAGTAAAGGATGTTGTAGGAACGAGCTCGTGACCGTGAAGTCATTGATTCAAATACTTAGATGGATTCAAATACTTAGATTTATTCGGACGCGCCCTAATTGTAGCAGCTACATATTCCCAACGTATAAAAAATAATAATAATAATAAATAAATCGGTTGGAACAATTTTGCTCCGATTTAGAAGGATTCCTCTAATTGCATACGGCTGGAGTTGGTCGTATATTGATAATTCAATAGTTTTCTTTTAAAATTCAATGGTACAATTTTAGAACATATTAATAACATATGATCTAAACCTACGTGTACGTATAAACAAGTTCAAGTTTACTTGGTTCTTCATTCCATCTTTCAGCATAAAAAATCACCACCAATCTCCACACGAACATCGACCGCTGTTGAAATGGTGATAAGTTTTCGAGTCGTCGACGACGATCTCCCGATTCAAAACCTCCGACATCTTCTTAGCCACGACGTGACAGCTTTCGCACATTCTTACATTCTTCCTCACGACAACAGGCTTCCCAACCGCGCTCCCGATCAATCCAAAACAAATAGCCAATCTCACGCTATGCCACGCCGGGGAACCTTCCCGTTTCTTTATTACATCGCGCGGTTTGAACTTGGTCATCCCGCGAACATTCCTGTCTTCTTCTTTCCCTATCCTCTTTAAGACAACATCGAGAACATCGTAGACTATGCCGCTCTCGATCTTCGATCTATCGTGATTCTTGAACTCATAAATTCTACCTCGATATTCAACAATACTACGCCCGATTGTCCTTTCCAATCCGCGTTCTTTCATCAAAGATTTAATGCGCTCGACATCTTCCCATCTCCCAACTTCAGCATACAAGTTCGACAGCAAGATGTAAGATCCAATGTTGTCTGTATCTATTGCAGTCGATAAATGACTCGCAGCCATCTCAGCCAGTTCGATGTTTTTGTAATGTCGACTCGCTACCAATAAAGAGCCCCATATCCGGTGAGTAGGCGCCACCGGAATTTCCTCGATAAACCGTCTAGCGCGGTCAAGTTCACCGCTGCGGCCAAGCAAATCAAGTATGCATCCATAGTGTTCGATCCCGGGTTTGATTCCATAATCATTCTTCATCGAATGAAAATACGCCCAACCTTCATCAACGAAGCCAGCAACGCTGCAAGCCGTCAAGAGGGCGACGAATGTGATCGCATTCGGACCAATTCCGTCATTCATCATACCCTCGAACAGCCTAAAGCAACATTCGCCAAATCCGTGAATAGCGTAAGACATTATAATCGTGTTCCACGTGATGACATCCTTAAACACTATCCTATCGAAAACTTTCCGCGCTGACTCAAGATCACCGCTTTTGGCATACATATGAATAATTGAATTCGAGACTAACGTACCGTAAGAAGTCCCCGATTTAATGACATAGCCGTGCACCTGCTGCCCTTCTTTCGGCAAGGCTATTTCTGCATAGGCTGCAAGAATGCTCGCAAATGTCCATTCGTCGGGTAAACACGACTCGCGCAACAAAATTCGAAACATTTCCACAGCTTCTATGTTGCGCGAGTTTTGAACGTAAGCGCCAATCATGGCATTCCATGTGACCAAGTTTCTTTCCTTCATGCTATTAAATAAACACTCAGAGAGCGCTACTTCGTCGCATTTACCGTACATGTCAACCAGAGCTGTCTCCAACACTACATGACTCGAAAATCCTCTTCTAATCGCATATCCATGGATGGCTTTCCCGTGCGACAGAGCTTTAACTTTCGAGCAGGCAGGGAGCGTATTAATCAGCGTGACGACATCCGGTGCCACACGGTGATCGCGCTGCATTTTTCTCAAACAAGAAAACGATTCTAAACATCGGTCGTTCGACACATATGCGCCAATCATTGCATTCCAAACCACCACATTTGTTTCCGAAACTCCAAAAAACAGATTCTCAGCTAAATAGACTTCGCCACATTTTCCAAACATGTCGATGAGGGAACTCCGAATCATCGAGTCTAGTTCATGGCCATTCCTAAGCACCTGGCAGAAGATCTCCTTCCCACCTCGCAAATGACACTCGATTGAACAAGCTATTAAAGCCCCGACATAGCTGAACCTGTCGACTTCCATTTGATGTTCCTGCATTTTCCGGAAATAAAACAAGGAATTCCAACCATCCCCGACTGAAACATAGCCAAAGATCATTGAATTCCAAGAAACTGCATCCCTAACAGACATGTGCTTGAAAACTTTCTCCGAATCTTCGACACGCCCAGCCTTAGCATACATAACAATGAGTGCATTACTTATGTAGACATCTGAATCAAGTCCAAATTTAATAACGGCGGAATGAACTTTCTGCCCTTCCTTCAAACTAAACATCCCCGTGCAAGCTTTGATCACGAAAGGAAAAGTAAAATGATCGGGTTTGATATCTTCATTTTGCATCCGGTAATAATATTCGATAGCTTTTTCAAATAATTCAGAATCAACCAGCGCCCTGATCATCACGTTCCATACAAAAGTATTTGGTTTAGTCATTTCGTCGAACAGTTGGAGTGCATTTTCCAAGCAATCCGATTTCAAGTAAGAGAGCAGCTTCTTGATAGGTGAAACTGAACAATCCAATCTCCTAATCGTTCTTCCGATTAGAGAGCTTGAATTCCTCTTTGAACTGCGTTCGATTCGACGCTCATGGCTTTGGGTAGTTTTTCTTGAAGCTGAAATCTTCGCAGGAAACGCTACTTGCTGTGAAATCGTGGGCTCTAAGCGGCCGTAAAAACCCAGCAAGGCAGTCGCCATTTCCCCACGTTTTTTTATTTTTATTTAATCAATACAACACTGAACAAGTTAGATCGATGATCAGAATGGCCGAAATCGAGACAGTTTCCATGTTTTCCGATTATAAGATCGACGGCAGTATCTGCAGTTCTCGGTCGGAAATTGGGAGCATAATGGGTTTGGTCCAGTCAAATTTGGGCTTATAAATTTTATTTTGGCCCAAAAAAAAATAAAAAATGGTGGCACTATATTTAATTTGAAGGCGTCCTCGCATTTAAAATAGATACCTTCGTATGTTTTCAGAAAATAAAAAATAAAAAATAAAAAAACCACAACAATCTGATTAATTAGTGAGAATGATTGATGAATAATTTTCGGTTTGGTGTGTTTGAGTTTGAAAGTTTGAATCTTTTTATTCAAATAATATTTAATATTTTCTTCAATATTCAAGTTTATATTTTATTTAATTTTTTTAATTATTGGATTGAGAAGATTATATATTTTAAGGGTGTTTTTTATGACCTTGAGTGGGTCTCTTGCCACCTGCTTCAAGGGTCGTACCTTTGTTCGGTGGCACCAATTTAAATTTGCGTCATCCGCTTCAGCAAACATCTTCAACACAAATTCTTGTGTTTCAACTATCAAGACATGATGTCTTAGACTTTCCATTTACTCAGCCAAGGACCCCAATTGGTCGCCAATTATTTGAAAAAAATTTACCAATTAATTTCCCATGTCAATTTGGCCGATTCCCATAAACAATTGGTTGTCTGTTATATCGCCGGACTCCATCCGTCTCTCTATGATACTTTCAAAATTATTTGGACCATCATTATTCGCAGATGCACATCATCGTGTTGTCCTACTTAAAGAACAGCAGACGCGTCGATTTCTGCCTGGCAACACTCGACAACCCCTTTCTTCACAGTCCACTCCGTCGGGCCCTCTACGCATGCCGACTACGACCACATTTCCATCTACTCATAGCAAAATTGGAGCAACTGGGTCTACCTTGCCTCCACAGCAGCCTGTTTCGGCACCTTGCTGCTTCAACTATGGTGAAATTGGCCACCGTATGCCGTATTGTCCCAAACGGCCGCTAAATCCTACATTATTATCCGAGAAAAATTCTGGGGATATGGATCCTTCACCTCATTATGACAAAGAGCACTCCTTCATTCATGAGGCTCATTTGGACGGCGATGGTGAAGACCTTCTTGTCCTACGTCGTACTTGTTTGGCTCCGAAAACTCCACCATCCTCTCAGTGTAACACACGTTTTTTCTTTACATGTACATTTTCGGGCAAAGTATGTAATTTTATTATTGATTCAAGGGCATGTGAAAATATGATTGCTTCTACTGTTGTTGAAAAATTGTCTTTATCAACAAAACTTCACCCCGCTCTATACGATCTCATATGGCTTCAATGCGATAGTCGTATTATGATCTCTAAACGTGTTCCGGTGAACTTTTCTATTGGTGATACATATGTGTTTTGTTTGGTGTGATGTGGTTCTCATGGATACCTGCCATTTATTACTCGAGCGACCACGGCAGTTTGATCGTCATGTTATCCATGACAGCCAACAGAACACTTACAGCTTTATATTCTGTGGAATGCGAATTGTTCTCCATCCAACGGTTCAATGCTCTCTTGGGACCTTAACTCCACTACAAGTCTTATACTTAGATCAAGTTGTTTTTTGTATGAAACTAGAGCATGCACCATTTGTGATCTTACTATTGGCATTTGATGCATAGAATAATCACTCCACTCATGTTAATCTACAACCTCTCTTATCTGAGTTCAACGATATTTTTTTCATCCAAGCTACCGACTGGTCTTCCTCCCATCCGGGACATTCAACATCATATTGATCTTATCTCAGGTGATCCCCTTCCAAACTGCCCGCATTATCGCATGAGTCCGGCTGAGCATGAGGAACTTCAGCGCCAAGTTGAAGAGTTAATTAAGCGTGGCCATGTATGGAAAAAACTTAGTCCATGTGCTGTCCCCGCTCTTTTAACACCTAAGAAGGGTGGCACTTGGCGTAAGTGTGTGGACAGTCGGGCCATCAACAAAATTATTGTTCGCTATCAGTTCCCTATTCCCTGTCTTGACGATTTATTGAATCAACTTGGTAGGGCCACGGATTTTAGCAAGCTTGATCTACGGAGTGACTATCATCAAATTTGTATTCAACCAGGAGATGAATGGAATACCACATTCAAGACTCTAGAAGGTCTCTTTGAATGGCTTGTGATGCCATTTGGGCTATCGAATGCCCCTATCACTTTCATGTGGGTGATGAATCAAGCGTTGCACTCTCTTATTTATACGTGTGTTGTTATCTATTTCAATGATATCATTGTTCATAGTCGTTCCATTGCAGAACACTTAGATCACTTGTGTTTGGTTTTCTTGATCCTTCAGCAGGAGACATTTTATGTTGCTACACAAAAGTGCACCTTCTTAGTGAACCGTATTCTATTCTTGGGCTATATTATCTCCGGTTCGGGTATTAGTGTGGATAGTTCTAAAATTGAGGCAATTAGATTTTGGTCTATCCTTACGACTATCACTGCCGTTCGTAGTTTTCATGGCCTAGCATCTTATTACCTTAGATTTATTCGTAACTTCAGTTCAATCATGGCTCCTATTACGGACTGTATGCAAGGAAAAATGTTTCATTGGACTCATGAGATTGATTCTACTTTTGTCTTTATTAAAGAGAAGTTGACTAATGGACCTTTGCTTGTCCTTTCGGATTTCTCTGTTCCTTTCGAGTTGAGTTGTGGTACCTCTCACTTAGGCATTAGTGTAGTGTTGAGTCAACAAGGTTGTCCCTGGCATTTTTTAGCGAGAAAGTACATGGCCCTGGACTCGTTATAGTACATGTGATCTAGAGTTTTATGCTATTAAGCGGGTTGTACGTCATTGGCATCATTATATCCATCAGCAGGAGTTTATTTTATATACCGATCCTGACGCACTACGACACCTCAACACACAGCTTTCTATATCCTTTTGATATGCCTTTAGAACAAATTTTCTACAGCAATTTACATTTATCCTATGGCACAAATCTAGCACCTCGAATCGGGTGGCCGATGCCCTCAGCCAGTGCCACTCACTATTTCTTGATATGCGATCGTCTGTTCCAAGTTTTGATATCTTACCAGCATCATCTATTTTCATTCTTTCTTCGGTCCCATTGTCTTACAGGTATCGAAAGGTACTCGCACTAATGTCGGCTTCTATCGGTTCTTTCGCATCCCAGATAGCTAACTAGTCCTTTATGGGGTACTCCTCCTTTCCGATTAGTTGGAAGAAGCCCTTCTGGTAACTTATTGAAGTAGGCAAACCGAATTGGCTGGAAACGCCTTCTGTAATCAACAAGTGCAGGAACCTATGATGCAAATTAGAAGTCCGCCACCGCCCACCGAAAATCATGAAAGCCAGTTGCTAAGAAAAAGGTAGAACCAAGGTCAGCTAAATCAAGCTAAGCTCATTTATGAGAAAATAGCTAGACTTTAGGAACAAGGGCCTTTGAAACCAAGGAAAGCAGTCATCAACCAGATCGAGTCTAACAACTACCCATTTTCTCACCCTGGTGAATCCAATTGGAGTGTTTTTGTGTAAAAAATTGTGGCTATATATATGGACTTCGTGCTTGGCCTTCCCCACGCTCAACGAGGTTTTGATGCTATTTTTGTGGTACTTGATCGCTTCTTTCCAAGATGTCCCATTTTATTCCCTGGAAACGAACAATTGATATTGTTCATGCGTCCCATTTATTCTTTCGAGAGGGTTATCACTTGCACGGCCTTTCACAATCAATTGTTTCCCATCGTCATACTCGTTTCTTAAGCTATTTTTTAAGAAGCCTCTGGGGTGTGGCCAATACTCGTTTGGATTTGAGTACTGCTTACCACCCGCAAACGGATGACCAAAAGAAGGTCATAAATCGTTTAGTGGGCAATATGTTCCGTTGCCTAGTCGGTTAACATGTTTGTTCTTAGAACTCTTGTGTGAGTCAAGCGGAATTGACTCACAATTCAGTAATGAATCGAAGCACTGGTTATTGTCCCTTTGAGGTGGTTTATGCAGTTATTCCTAGCGGGTCATTAGATCTTATTGTTGTTCTTCCATCCGGCACTGTTGATTCACGATTCACATGTTGAAGACCTCATGACGAACTTTCTAGATGTCCATGCCTGGACTTCTCAACGCCTACAAATGTTAAATATAGGGCAACTGATGATGCTCGTCACCCATTGGAGTTCGAAGTTGGTGATTCCGTGTGGGCTGTCCTCACCAAGGACCGTTTTTCCGAGCATGAGTATAACAAATTTTCTATGCGAAAGATTGGCTCGGTGGAGATTATTCAAAAGATCAACCCTAACGTCTATCATTTGAAGCTCCCTACCCATATTCACACTTCTGGTGTATTGTGACACCCCGACCTACAAGCCACGCAAAGACGGGCGTTTCGGGACGTCGTAGATTGGCCCCACAGGTCAACGCTAATTCTTCCAACGTGCTTCTGTTTTCACTCGCACGCATGGTTCGCCAGATCGGCCGATCCGGAACCGGAAGACTGTTCCAGTTCGTAAAAAATATCCGATATTTTGACAAAATTCTCCCATCCATTCATATCTTATCTAAAATCGATTTTAAATCTTTTTCTTATCTTTTTTTCTACTTTTTATTCATTCCATCCGTACCAATTCATCTCAATTCGACCATATTGGAGAAGAAAACATATACCTGGAGAACGAGGTGTTTTGGTTGGATATCGCGGTGTTGGGAAGGTGGATTTTGGAATCGTCGGTGTTGAGAAAGAATTGGCGAAGAAATTTCGCTGCTCCTGAAGAGAGGCTATCGGCTGTCGCTCGCCGCTGCGTCTGTGCGCTGAAGAAGAGATTTGCGCACTGTGAAGTAGAAGGTGGGGAAGAACGCGCAGAAAAAAGAAGGCGGGGAAGAAGAACGTGAGGGTAAGTTTAATTATCATATTATTTTAATTAATTTAAATATTTATAAATATAGTATAAAATTAATTATTTTACTTATTTTTGGATTAAAATTAATTTTGAATTATTTTGATTAATTTATTTATTTAATTGATAGATTTAATTATTTTAGATTTAATTATTTAGAATAATTTGTTTAATTAATTGATATATTCAGTTTACTTATTTTGGATTGTATTTAATTTTTATTTAATCTATATAAATTGAGTTCATTAAAATTGATATTTTAGAATAACTCATAACTTTATTATTTAAAATTAATATTATTTTAGACAAAATTTGTATTAATTGTAAATTAATTATAAAAAATTAATATTTTAACTAGATTTTTTATATAAACAAATTAGTTCTCTATTTAAATTTTTGTATAAGTTTGATTTATTAATAAACTAATATATATAATTTGTCTAGTTAATTAATGAATTATTATTTATAAATATTTTAACAATTGTATTATTAAATTACAGAGATATTGGTTGAGATCATGCTACTCCTATCAGCAACTATAGAAAACAAGCAAAATGCAATTATTGTGGTAAAATTGTTCACAGCGGAATTACTATGATGAAACAACATATAGCACATATTACAGGTCAAGTTAAAGCATGCACGAGAGCTCCAAAAGAAATAAGAGAGTTATTAAAAAAACACTTGATCCAAGAAAAAAAGTATGCGAGCAGCACGAAGAAGAAGATGAAGTTTTTGAAATAAATGAAGATGAAATAGATGCTCTTGAAAGAAAACACTTAAAAAGAGCAATGGCTGAAAGCAGAAATATGAAATTTATGGAGCAGCAGCGTAGACTTTTTGTATCCAAAGATCTACCAAGCTTGAATTTTAAAGCCGGTATATTTATTGAATTTATAAAATATATTTAAATATTAGTATATTTGTTTTGAGATAACAACCATAGATGATCATATGTTTTTTTTTTTTATTTTTGTAGGGGGAAGCAGCTCGAATACAAAATGAAGTAAAAGAAATTTTTTCGAAAGCTCTATAAAAAAGACAAAAGGTTTGCATAAAAAAAAAAAAACTTCATCCATACATGTTTTAATTGAAGAATAAGTCTTTGAAATTAATACATTCCAAAAATTTGAATGATTTGAATCATTCCAAAAAAAAATTAATACATATTTATATCACATCAAATAACTATTTCAATTTAAAATTTTATTATTCAAAATCAAATCTTACTAATAAATATTTCTCATTTATTTTATTTTTCATATTTGAGATAAATGAAATTAAGGAACGAAAAATAATTTATTTTTAAAATTTGAATTATTTGAATCAAACCAACAAAAGAACTGGGCATGCTTTTATTTTAAGTGTGTTTATTTTGAACTTCTTTTTTTTCAAAAACAATGCATTATTACTGAAAATTGTAAATTTGTTTCTTTTTCAAAAAAAAAATTAACATATTTTTTAAAAAAAAAAACAAATTAATATACTACATATATTTATTATTTTAATATTATCTACACAATTTTTTGTTTCACATCAAAATTTTTTCTTCCAACTAAAACACAAAACAGTCACATATAAAAGGAGAAAGAAATTGAATTAAAAATTTTAGCCACAAGAAAATTGGAAAGTGTAGGGAATGTGTAGAAAGATGATAGGGCACATCTTGGCTTTTTTTTTTTTTTTTTTTTTTTATATGCCAAACTTTCAATAATGTGTTTTTTGATTGATTCATAGGATCTTTAATGGACTAAAAGGTGACACCTTTATTGAAATATGCCTAATCATCTTTGTAGGAGATAGGGCAAAGCTTCATTAATTACAGGTGTAAGAAAGAAGAGGTCACTTTATTTAAAGAGATTATTATTATTATTATTATTATTTTAATGGGTTATGTGATTCAAATTTCCATATTTGCTTTACCCTTTTTGAGTAGTGGGGCTGCCCTAAACTGGCTGATTCATAATGCCATTCACATTCCCACATCACATTAATTACTTATTAGGTCATTAAATTAAATTAAATCCTCTAAATAAATGCACTACTTCTTCAATTGAGTCACACCATTAAATAAATAGGCTAGGATGTGATTATTTGTATACCCAAGAAAACAAAGAAAATCAATTGCAATAGACTTGGGGGCATTGTATGAGAAAGAAAAATTAAAAAATATTTAAGAACAAATGAAGGGTTATTATTATTTTAGTATTAGTAAATACTTAATTAGCTAAGAGTACAAACAAGTGATTGTGAATCAGATTTAATCATAACCACAAGCACATCTACAACAAAGAAAGGCATGGAGATCTGCACAAAGTAATACATTATTCCAAACAGCACATGGGCAAAATAAATAATCAAAGATTACAGCAAACTGTGCATCAGACAAGAATCAGCCAAAGCCAACACCAGCTGAACTGACAAAACATTTCAATACTTTATGCAAACCACCATTGAAAGTAGATCAAGAAATCACTCACTGAAATAAATATAACCCCCCAAAATAATACTAATACTAATATTTCAAATATCTAGAAACAGCTTTAAACAATGTTGAAGGATCTAGTGATTGCAAACTGGACAATGTTCACATTGTTTGCCAGATATGCAAAGGATCCAAAGGGAATCAATGCCAATTACATATATGACAAGAACTCCCAACTAATCAAAGCACTAAATAATCTATGATAGGAGCAGTGATCAGATCAACACAACTCAATCTTCATCTTCAATTTTTCTTTATTTATTTAGAAAAGAATATCTGCATAAGTGCATAAAAATGGTTTTTTATAAGCCAGCTTAGGCTCCTCTGGTCTATAGGACCATTAGACATAAAGGGACCTCAGATGAGTCATCATCTACTTGCAAAGGCACTCTTTTTATACAGCAAAACTGTATTCACATGTCATGTCTGTTCGTATCAGTTCTTGGCATGCATTTTCCCATTCAGTGGTCCAAACACAGACAGATTTAGAAATTAAGACCAAACTTTTTACACACAACAAAAGTGATGAGGCGAAATCATTAACCACAGCCAAAAGAGCATCATTACCAAACATTTGAGCATATTCTTCTACAACAATGGCAGCCAAATCAGAAAAAAAGGAAAACAAGAAAGGAAGAACACAAAATTAATTCATTAAAGGTGCTAAATTGAATCCAATAAACAACAGGATAAAGAGGCAACAGAGAAATCAAATCAACTAAGTGATAATCAACTCATGCCATGGCTTGCAAGTTACAGCACATCATCAGAAATTATCTGCTAAAATCATCAGAAACTGGATGAATCAGATGACTTACAGTCAGGCTTTCTGCAGAGAATCATGTGCATCGGAGTGAAGATCCCTGTCTCCCCGCCTCTGGTTAGGTAATCGGCGGTGACGAACAGCATCTCGTGCACGTCGACCACGCCTTTAGGAGCAATCCCTAGCCAGGCCAGAACAGTCACCAGAATGTGGTTCCTCCAGTAAGCAATCCTCCCCATCTTCAGACGAGTCCACCATGGATTCGAAGGAGGCTTCGCAAGGTCCTTCTCGTTCAGGATTTCGAATCCGACCTTCTTCGCGACCTCGGAGATGTCCTTGTAGCTACGCAGGCCTGGCAGCGCGTCGCCTCTCTCGATCCCTTGGATGACCTCGACGTGCTCAGGATTGTCGCCGCGGTAGAGCTCAGTGGTCACCCACTCGTAGGAGACGTAGAGCGAACCAGGCTTGAGAACTCTGTAGATCTCGCTGTACACCTCCTCCAGCTTCGGCGCGTGGCACGTGGCCTCGATCGAGTACGCGCCGTCGAAGGAGTCGCTGGCGAAGGGCATCTGGAGGAAGTTACCGCACACGACCTCGCACTGTTTGTCCAGCCCAGCCTTTTTGTTGTGCATTCGGGCCCGATTTACTTGGTACTCGTTGATGGTGATTCCGACGACGTTTGCGCCGGAGTGGGCGGCGATTGCCCGCATCGGGCCCCCGACTCCGCAGCCGGCGTCGAGGATTCGGGCCCCGGGCTTTAAATCGAGCAGATCGACCGCCATAACCTCGTGGAGGCGCGTGGCCTCACGGTGCGATTTTCCGGGGATGGAAGGGGAGAAGTGGAAGGATTGGCCCCATCCCCACTCGTAAATGTCGGTGACGAGGTTGTAGAAGGTGTCTACGAATGCGGGGACCTTATCGGCGGTCTCGATTTCCTTGGGGCGGCGGAAGAAGGACCAGTACTGCTTGTAGGTGTCGCGGACTTTCTCCTTGGCGATTGAGCCGCCGGAGAGCTGGGCGGCGCGTTTGCCTTTCTGCTCGGCGGATCCGAGGATGCAGAGAAACCAGTAGAGGCCGCCGGCGAGGAGGGAGGCGGTGCAGAGTAGAGTGAGAGAGTCCATGGCGAGTAAGAGAGAGAAACGAGATCCGTGAATGGAGGGATGGACGGATGTGAGGGTAGTACAGTGTGGTATATATGTACTGTTCTGTATCTCTATCTGTATCTGCATCTGTATTCTGTATGTAGTAAAATGGTTTGTTTGTTTGAAGTAAATCAAAATTGACTGCTGCTGCTCTTACGGCATCTGAGAAAGCCTAATAAGAAAAAGAATCTGTTTGTGTGTAAAAACAATTTATTAATTATAGTTATTATTGCTATTACTATGAATTTGGAAACAAATTAATAGTAATTGGTTAATTTGAAGAGAGAGAGAGAGAGAGAAAAAAAGGGAAATAATGTGTAATGAATGCATCAAAGATATTTTGAAATTGAATGCAGGGTGGGCCATTGTTTCGAAGCTTTGTCGTTTTGTTGGATTTTATTTAGGCTTACTTGTATTATAGAATACCGTTTGAGCTACAATACGTGTAAATTTAATTATTTTTTATTTTGATAATTGAACTGCACTTTCCACTTTACATTTTAGTTTATATTTAACTTTTTACTACTTATTTTATCCCCACACTGTAATGTTTTGAATATTGTAGTTGTTTCTGTTAATTTTATATAAAATTATACTCCTCCGTTCACGTATAAGGATGATATTTATTTTTAGCGCGGTATTTAAAAAATAATAGTATTTTAATTATAGTAAGTAGTTAAAAGTAGTGTAATGACATTTTTGCTCTTACTTTTTTTTGTGTAAAAGTAATGATGTGATGTAAACTAAGGGTATTTGTGGAAAAAAAAAAGTAGAGTATTTAATGAAATGTTAACTTTTGTAATTAGACATCCCAAAATAGAAATATGTAAACATTATAAGTGAACGAAGGGAGTATTATTTAATTACATACTCTAAAATTATCATTATACAAAGAAAATATTATGCTTGAAATTTTTATGTATGTATTTAAATCAGTTATATAAATTAAACAAAACAAAATTCTAATAAAACCTATCATCCGATGTGGTGGTTTGGTTATTTTTTTAAACTCATCCCCTCCCATGTTGCCCTTCTTTGTCGAACCCCCGCGAAGTAATCGTCATCGAGCCTTATGGCATAAACTTTCGTCGCCGTTCGGAAGTCTCCACTCGCCGGCCAGAGCTCCGTTCTGGTTCAAGATGTTGAAAAAACCTCCTCCTCGAAGGGAGTTTAAAAAATTAAGTTAAAATTTATGTTTTTTATTGGATTAAGTTTTTTAATTCATGATATGCTTAGATCTATTTTATTTGTGCCTCATTTGGGTTTGTACAAGCTTTAGTGACGGGTCATTTTACATTGACATCGTATTGTATCATCATGTTAAATATGAGTTATTTTAATGTGTTTGAAATTATAAATGATTTTTTTCTATAAAAGTACATTTATTTGCATTTTTCTAGGTTTATATATATATTCTCTTCGTCCCATAACAAAATATCCATTTTTTCATTTTAGTCTGTCTCATAACAAAGTATCTATTTCCTTTTTTAGTAATTGTACTATCTATCTAACATTACAAATACCCTTACAACTTATAATATATTACACAAATGTCATTACCTTTATATCACGCATACTAATAAGTTTATTTTAGTCATTTATACTTTATTCCTACTATATCTCAATATAAACTAATATTTCTAAAATTATGTACAAAAAGCAAATGGATACTTCTTTATGGGACGGAGGGAGTATAATACATTGATTGTGATGTGAAAGGTGGTACTTCTTATTTTCTTCAAATACCTTAGGCAAATTATTTCTTGTTAGATGATTTTTTAAGTACCAAAATATTGCACGATGTCTCTATCGTAAAATTGGTTATATATGTATCTATTTCGTCGATTAGTAAAGTTTTGTTTGTTCTTTATATATATTGTCTCCCGTTATCATTGGTGTACCTTTACTGTTAATTCATAAGTCTAAAATATACTACATAATAGTACATAAAAGATTACTTTGTTTAATTCTAATTTTGTAGATTTTTAATTTAAATTTTATTTTATTTTTATCTTTATAAAATTTGCCATGAATATTTGAATTGAATTGGCAAAATTTTAAAAATATATGTAAATTTAAGATAACATTAATTAAATAAGTTAGACGGTTATTTTCAGGTTGAAAATTTGGATATAAACTTATACATTCAATTAAATGGGTTAAAATTAGATCAAAATCTCTGATAAAATTTGAAGGAACTCCAAATGCACACAAAAATAGTTTCGAGTGAGCAATGGCTACACTCGATTCAAGTATTTATTCAATAATACTGGCGTACAAGAAAGACGAACAATAAGGAACTCGTCTGAGATCACAAAGGATCTGAAAATCAACTACAACACATTAATCAACTAAAGAAAGCACTGTATTCACAAAGGAATACTTATTAACCAACAACAATTTCAAGAAGTCACAGGTAATAAGAAAAACAGCAACTATACAACCATTTGTGATGATTAAAGCAACGAACAAACACCATATGTGCTTTCCTTAATCTTGTACACCAGGAATAGTGAATGAGCTATTAGATCTCATTATCAACTGCAGCACATCTGTGTAAATGATGTAGAGCGGAGATAATCGTGTAGAAAGAAAAATTGAGGAAATGACAGTAAAATGATGATGAAAGAATATCTACGAATCGATATTCTAAGGCATAGAGGAGATGAAATGGAATGTAGCGATTCAAGTAATCGCGAGAAGCATAGTGAGAAGTGTGTGTATGAAAAATGTATGAGAGAGAGAGGTGGAGGCGGAGAGTGCACAGTGTGTGTTGGAAGTGTGTGAAAGAAGTGATGGTGGTGATAATACGATGCCTAGGGCACAGATCATATATATGTATATTTGTATGTATATATATATGGGCTATGCCCAAGAGAAGAGAGTGGGCTTGAGCCCAAGAACCTGTTAGGCCCAACGGAGTTGAGATCCACTTCTTAACATCCCCTCTCACGCGAAGGACCGTCATTAGCAACCTGAAACAAATTGAACAGATTATTAAGTTTACAAAGATGGGAGATAGACTTACTGTCCAGGCTTTTTGTGAGTAAGTCAGAACGTAGGTCATTGGATGAAATAAAATGTGTCGAGATGATCCCTTTGGAGATGTAATCCCTCACCATGTGACAATCAATCTCGATATGCTTAGTTCTTTCATGAAAGACTGGATTAGCAGCAATTTGTAAAGCAGCAGTGTTATCACAGAATAATTCTACAGCACAATCATGAGGTATATGCAAGTCGCGGAGGATGCCAAGAATCTATGCTATTTCAGTACAGGCTTGTGTCATCGCCCTGTATTCAGCCTCAGCTGAAGAGCGTGACACAGTTGACTGTTTTTTACTCTTGAAAGAGACTAAAGAATCTCCGAGAAACACACAAAACCCTGTCACTAATTTTCTTGAGATTGGACATGATGCCCAATCTGAGTCACAGTAGGCTTTAAGGAGTAACTTGTCATTCCTTGAGAACAACAATCCCTGCCCATGACAACTTTTCAAATATTTCAAAACTTTGAGGGAAGCACGCATATGCGACTCCTTAGGCCTGTGCATAAATTGACTCAAAACTTGGACATAAAAAGCAATATCAGGCCTAGTTAAAGTGAGATAAATCAGTTTCCCAACCAGTTGTTGGTATATAAAATGTTCGGACAGCAAAGGATCATGTTCACTCACTAAATCATTGAGCTTCAAATGTTGTTCCATGGGAACTAATGAGGGTTGGCAAGCTAGCAAACCAAACTCAGAAATTAGTTCAAGAGCATATTTTCGTTGAGAAAAAAAACAGTTCCCTCATTACACCTGAAAGCTTCTATCCCCAAAAAATAGTTAACAGTACCCAGATCTTTAATTCTGAATTTTATCATTCAGAAACCTTTTGATTCAACAATTTTGTCAATATTATTTCCAGTTACAAGAATATCATCAACATACACTAATGCTATAACAATCAGATTGTCTTCCATTTTCACAAACAAAGAGTAATCATGGAGTGATTGTTTAAAGCCGAATTCAGCCGTGGCTGATTTCAACTTCTCATTCCATTGTCTTGGGGCTTGCTTCAGCCCATATAAAGACTTCTTTAAAAGACAACACTTTACCTTGAAACATTTATGAAAATCCTTCAAGGGGAACCATATAGACAGTTTCATAGAGGTCACTATGCAAGAAAGCATTATTGACATCTAATTGAAAAATTTCCCAACCCTGACTAACAACAATAGAGAGTACACAACGAACATTAGGCATTTTAACAACGGGATAAAATGTTTCATGAAAATCAATGCCTTCTTTTTGACTAAACCCTTTTGCAACAAGTCTAGCCTTTTATCACTCCACTGTTCCATTGGAGTTATATTTAATTTTAAACACCCACTTACAACCTATTGGCTTTCTATCAAGAGGCAGATCAGTGAGGACCCAAGTTTTATTATCAACAAGGGCTTTCATTTCAAGGTCTATAGCGTCTTTCCACTTGGGATCAAGAATAACTTCCTTGACAGTTTGAGGCTCAACCAATTTGTCTAGATTGCCCATCAGACAAAGGTTTTCACAAGATAGAGTATGAGGGGGACAACATACAGCACTTAAAGGGTATGTAACAGAGGCACTACCTATTGAGACTTGATAGTCATGCAAATAGGTAGGTAGACAACGCTTTCTGGTGGATTGACGTCTGTTAAGGCGTGCCTCAAATATCACAGGAATTGCGTCTGTGATGTGTTCAGATTCACAGACTTCATTTGTGTTGCTATCATTTGTAGTACCTGATTGTTGGTTCAAGTAGGGTTCTTGAACTTCATCCAAAGGTGTTTCCAAATGATTTCCTTCACAAATATAAAAAAAATCATCATAGGCTATATTGATAGGACCAGACTTAGACAAGGATATATCTGAACCAGCTGCGGAGTCAACAGAGTGAAAGAGAAACATAGATTCATGGAAAATAACATCACATGAGGCATAAACTGTGAATGTTTGAAGATCAAGGAATTTATAACCTTTTTTATTTTCAGCATAGCCAATAAAACAGCAACGAGTTTCC